AGCAGAAGATTGATGGAATTTGGGGAGCTTGGGGTTCTTATTCTGCATGCTCAGGATCTTGTGGATGGGGGAAACAAGTCAGATATCGTGAATGTAATAATCCTACTCCAATGTTTGGTGGTAAAAATTGCTCTGGCAGTAATCAAGAATATTTTCTTTGCCGCAATACTAGATGTAATGGTGGTAAGTTAACTTTAATTAGACTTTATACTTCTTTAAGGTTTTGTAAAGTTTTTTATATGTATATATATTATTAGCAAACATATTGTAAAACTTTGGTTATCAACTAAAAATAATAGAGAAAATAATTATTCTCTGTTAATATGTTCATTGTGTTACCCGTTTCTGCACGTGAGCCTCAAATATATGAAGAACTCCATAGAAAGCTTTAACATTTGAAATAACTTGAAAAAAGGTTTGTTTTTATGGCATTTGTAAATATGCTGATCAAACTTATCTGAACCAGTACCTGTTCTGCATGTATGGATGTGTAAATTAGTTCTAAATAATGGGTTGTTAGTTTTTCCTATATATGAGATCCAAGTGTCCCCATAAGTACAAATTTTTGCTGGATAACCACAAACCAAAAGATACATGCAATACCTAAATTGTGCATCTTAGGTAATGCATGTATTCTTGCTGCTTATTTTATTCTGCTCTCTTCAACAAAAGGAAATGTGCAAAATAGTTTAGGTATATGAAAATAAATGAGAACAATGTTTTGCAAAGTTGTAGTTGTATGTAACAATTGATATTATAGGTAAAAAAACTGGTAGAGAATTATCTTTACTAAGCAGCAAGAATAAACGCATCTTAGGTAATGCATGTATTCTTGCTGCTTGATATCCTACAGGATAGGTTTTATTGTAAGTGTCTTTTCTTGATTATTATGTAGGGTAGAGCAAGGCATATAGGGACACTTAAGAAACAAATGTTAGTTATGGATAAACTTATTATAGTTAACACTTTTTTTTTTTGTAAATTTCCTAAAATTCATTGATAAAAGGAAACAAAAAAACAAAGAAAAAAATTCCTAAAAATAAGCTACGAAAAACAAAGTAACAAAACTCTGCGGAGCAAATTTTTTAAATTTTGCAAGTGGGTAGGGCAAAACAGGACAATTAAAAAGCAGCAGGTATTTGTTAAATGTGAAGCTTTAAAAATGACAAAAAAATAAAATTATTTCTTCATTTAAACATGATCAGACATTAAACTCAGAAAAAATTAACCTATCCATACATACTACACACCCATACACCCATACATCAAAAAAAGAAAATACCTAAAACAAAAAAAACTTGTATTTTTTTTTTTTAAATACTCTTAAACAAACAAGTTTAAGAAATTGTTCTAAAAATTAAGGCAAAACTAGTATATATTATTAAATTGGTAACTACTACTATATTTAAAATTAAACAAAAAATATTATGGACCACTTAAGTCACGCAAAAAATATCCTGAAATTGTTTAGCAACATTTTTGATAAGATGGCTTATTAGCAATATGTCAATGTAGAACAAATTTAAATATGCCATATGTATCAGCAGCTTTTCGAATTCTATTTTTTTTTTTTAACTCACAGCTAAAACTGCACTTTTATCTCATTTTGGATGATTGATCATTATTACATAATTTCTTACTTTCGTTGTTTACATTTCGTTGTTTACATTAAAATTTCTTACTTTCGTTATTTAAATTTTGTTGTTTACATTTCGTTGTTTACATTTCATTGTTTACATTTCATTGTTTACATTTTGTTGTTATTTAAAAATTTTGGCATATAAAATTTGCCAAAGGGTCACACACGAGCAGTGAATGTCTAAGGGAAGAAATGAAGTACATTAGAATAAAGGAGAATTAGTTTTTGAACTAAGCATATTTTGACAGTTTTCAAGACAAAAATAAAGATTAATAGAGGAATATTTAAAAATAAATGAGACAGACAATGCACCTAAAACAGTACTTAACAATAATAATAATAATAATAGTAATAATAATAATAATAAAAATTATTTTATAAACACTAATATGAACGAAGATAAACAACAAATATCACCAGACAAATATCTTATAAAACAAAAATTGATTACAAAATAAAAAGTATGCTAACAACAATGGAAGGTCTCAGAATAGAAAAAAATACATTAATGCTAATGTATAAACATAATTGTTGTAGTGATTAAGTAATAAACATCTCCTCAGGGTCGCATCTATTATTACGGCGTTACAATGAGGATCAGCATTTATAACTAGTTTATTCTGTCAGACAAACGTCATCACCACTTATGCTTTACCCCGCGATTTACGCCTATTCCATACTGCAGTAAAAATGGACTCACTACAAATAGCCAAGACCCAAAGAAACAAACGAAAATAAAAATAACTAAATAAATCACTTACCATACCACCTAAAAAAAAAATTAAAACACAATAAATTAAAATTCTAACAGAAACATAAAAATACTAATAAATTTACTTTAAGATATAAAGCCAAATAGGTATTATTAGCATAAACAAGCCCAAGATAATCAGAAAGCAGTATACCTCATTAAAAAAAAAAAAAAATTTAATTCAACAAAACTACAATAGCCTTAAAGGGATCCCAAACTCCCAACACATGTTGTGTTCATATTAAAGATAATGTTAAAAAAAAAGGTTTGAACCAAATTTTTTTGATTAAAAATAAATAATGAATGCATACCGTGAAAAACAAATGTTTTTGTTTTTGCCGAAGCTCGTCTTCTCCATTTTTTTCAACTACTCGGAGTCTTCAAATTATGCGTCGCAATCTACAGACTTTGGCAATTCCTTTGAAGCGCGTTTAATTCATAAAAGTTTTAGTATTTGACGTCACGGTAGACTTTTAACAAATAAAACTCTAGAAATATTTTTATTTATTTTTAGTCTATTTAAAGTTTTTTTGATTATTTGTTTAGTTTTTTTTTTTTTTTTACTTTTAATATTTAAAAAGATATTAAAAACCTTAAATATTTTATGCTGGTTCGTTGCTATAAATTGTTGTTGCGCCATATATTTAATGTTTATAAATTATGAATATTTATTATCTCAAAAATTGTTTTACATTAATTAAGCGTATAAAATTAGTAACAGCTTTTTTATTTGGTTAGACGATATTTCGTTTCAATTTGCTTTGCATGAAGTTCGGAAAGTCAAACAAAAATTTAAAAATTAGTTTGAATAATCACGTCGAAATATAATTAAAACAAATTATTTTAATGAGGGGGTTCTAAAGATTTTTATAACAAATGTAGGTAAAAAAATAAATAACTAAATAAAAAGTTCAGTATTAAACACCATTTCTTTATTCTATTGCAACTGTAAATATTGAATTATTAACTTGAACTAAATTTACTTATAATTTAGAATGACTAAGCAATAAAAATAAAATGCCCCTAAAATTATGCGAGATTGTGTTGTTTATTTGATAATTGTTGTTGGTAATGTTGTTTATGTTGATATAAACTACCATCTATCTTGAATTATTGCCTTTAATTAATGTGTTAATTATTGCGTTATTTAATAATAATTTGTCCATATTTTTGTTAAATATTAGTTGTATAAAACGGGCGAAAATATACAAACTTCATGTTTTTTATTTGATGGTTATAAAATATTGAACAGTAAACTTATAATCAAAATTTATAATGCTAACTTGTGTTGCAATTAATTGTACTTTTAATGCAAAATCAGGATCTCACATACCCTTTCACAAATTTTTATATCTGATACTACTTTCAACTGTATTGTTTAGTGTATTCTTGTACTTTTTTTTCATAATCTTAACAGGTTCTAATTGGTATGGAGTTGCTGACATTTTAAAAATTTCATTATCAAAAATCAAATGTAAAATAAAATGGTATTTCCTTTTTATCCGTATCCAATTCAGCAAATTTAGCAATTTAAATTAATTCAGCGTGATCAAAAAAATTTTATAATAAAAAAAGTTAACAATTCATTAAATATCTCTAATTAATACTGTCAGTTTATGAAAGTAATTGTTAATAAATACTTTTTTTCAACGGGAAAACAAAAAATTGTCATAGCGTAAAAATAACCAGAGAAGTTAGAAAATAGTTCCCATTGTTTAAATAAAAATAATTAAGAATCAGAATATATAATACTGCGCTCTCTTGCGCAAAAACAAGAGACCGTATATAAAACATTCTATATAATGTAAAATACTCGTATGAAAATCATGAGATTGGTAAGTAAAGCTTTAATATTTGTTTTAATTTAAATAATTAAAGAAATATAAGTAAGATATATAAATCTAAAAATTATTAAGATATCTGTAAAAAATAAGTTGCTTCTATAAAATAAAAATAATTTATTGTTTTTACTTTTTACAAAATTTTTTTTGCGATGTTTGGAAAAATAATACAAATAAATTTGTTTTGCTGTATGTTAAAAAAATACTACAGTAGAAAAACCCAGCTTAGTTTAATTACACTTTTCTTTTGTTAAAAGTCTACCGTGACGTCAAATACTAAAACTTTTATGAATTAAACGCGCTTCAAAGGAATTGCCAAAGTCTGTAGATTGCGACGCATAATTTGAAGACTCCAAGTAGTTGAAAAAAATGGAGAAGACGAGCTTCGGCAAAAACAACAACATTTGTTTTTCATGGTATGCATTCATTATTTATTTTTAATCAAAAAAATTTGGTTCAAACCTTTTTTTTTAACATTATCTTTAATATGAACACAACATGTGTTGGGAGTTTGGGATCCCTTTAAATAAACTCTAATGTTGTCATAGATACCTCATTCAAAATATGATAACCAATCAAAAGTGTAGGAAAATGAGCAACCCACGAAACCCAAAATCATAACAATAATTGAATAATATATGATTGCGAAATAAAAAAATTCCGAAAAGTGAAATTTTCTCTACTGTCCAAATTAAATGTAATTTTAAGACCATAACAAAATAACAAGGAAAAACATATATCATCAAAACATGTCGAAAGCCGCTAGTTTATAAGAATCATATATATATATATATATATGATTCTTATAAACTAGCGGCTTTCGGCAGACAATGCACCTAAAACAGTACTTAACAATAATAATAGTAATAATAAAAATTGTTTTATAAACACTAATATGAACAAAGATATTTAACAAATATCACCAAACAAAAAATTTATAAAACAAAAAATT